GCCGGCGGAGCCGCGCCTGCCCCGGCCCGGGGACCGAGGGAGCGAGGAGGCAGGCAGGGAGGGCGCCGCGCCCGCGCGGTCTTCCGCGATGAAGCGCCCTTGCGAGGAGACGACCTCCGAGAGCGACATGGACGAGACCATCGACGTGGGAAGCGAGAACAATTACTTGGGGTGAGCGCGTGCTCGGCGGGAGCTGCCCGGAGCCCGGGGCGTCGGGAGCTTTGCTCACGGGCGGCTCCCTGGAGATCCCGAGGCTGCCCTCCGCGCGTCCTAACGCAGCGGAGGAAGTTCTGCCCGAGAAACTTGGAGTAGTGGGCGCTCTCGGAGCGTGCGTTGGGGTGGGGCGAGGGATGCCGGTTTTCGCTCTAGAGGTGCGGCGGGGAGGACGGGGGACGCGGCTGAAAGAGAGCGCAGCGGTGGGCCCAGGAGGGTCCCGGCTGTCAGCGCTGGGCGCGCGGACAGGCACGTCCCGGCGACGCCCCCGCCCCTGGAACTGTGTTTGGCAGCACTTTCAACATGGACCAGGCGAAAAGAAAAACAAATTGATTTCTTATTTTTAAAGAGACTAAGAAAATGACCTGCTTTTTGGAGAAATCGAAGCAACTTGCGATGTCACGGCTGAGTAGGTTGAGTTTTCCAGGTTGACCGTGTGGGGCTCGGCTGACGGGAGAGTGAGTGACAGATGTAAGGATCGTTTAGGGCATCATCTCTTTGACTGCTGGTTCTTAAGTCTGGAAAAGATCGGGGTCGTGATCACACAAGCCAGACCTCCACTTTCCAGTGACAGAGGGAGATTACCGAGGCATTTTAGTGCCAAGGCGGGTCAAATGATAATTGCTTCTAATTGGCATCCCCAGAAGCACCTTAATTATTTATCTGCAGCTGTCACTCAACGAGCAAAATTCTTCCTACCTTTGGAAAACTAGTTTTCTTTCAATATTGTTATTCTAATAGGTACAAACCAAAGCTGAAATCCGCAATCTCAAAGATATTTACATGAAACGTTGTTTGCAAAGTATTTTCTAATTATTAAAGTGTTGTTGTGTCATCTTAAAAAATGAGATCTGAAAAACAGAAGATGTCATGTGAAAGGCGAAACCAGTTGAGAGGGGTGGGAACGAGGCAGACAGTTAATTCAAGAAATAAGATCCAGAAGTGGGAAGGGGAGGTAATAAGAACCTCGTGTGTGCAACATTTTTGAAATGAAAGAGAACAAATAGCAGGAACCTAGAGAATTTGAGAACATAAAGAAGCATAGTATCCATGAATTATGAAGAGAAACAGATATAAACTAGAAAGAATTGTAGAAATTACAAGTGACAAAAAATGATTTGATGGAACTTTCAATATAAAGTATCTTTTCATTAGTAAACTCAAGATGGACTGCAGCTCCTTAAGGGTTAAGCTTGGATTGAAAGCTGAGAAATACCTACAGTTTCATTTTCAAAGTAAAACATTTACCTAGTAGTTGATCTAATTTTAATTTCCCTGCCATGGCATATTTAATTTGGGGCATTCTTTTGGAAGATTAGTATACAAAACATTAAAATTTATTTTTTTTCCTGTTGTGAGATATAACTAATTGAAGTTTTGAAATAGTAAGATAACTTTTGTTTATTTTAAAGATTGCGTCTAGTGACAACAATTTGATATGTGATGGCTGTGTATCTGTTTGATAGTGGTGCTAAACCTGGCCTTTATTTTAAAATAGCTTTGCTTTGTTCAGTGTGATGATGGAGGAAAGAGGAGGGATGCTATTAAAGATTAGTTGACTGTTAAGAAATATTTATGATGGAACTAGGAAGTACTGATGTCTAACTTCTCACCCTGACTGCCCATGATTATTTCACTGGGAGATTTAAAAATTTAGGGACGTTTTTGCCAATGGATTTGGCATCTGGATTACTCCTTAAAATTGAAAGAAAAAAAAAAGAGGCATGATTTCTACCTGAAAAGAGATATAAGGGCTGAAAGCAAAGTATGTTCAGGTTAGAGCAAGAATTAAGAATAAAATAACACAGACCTGAACTGTGCGATCTCTCTGAATATTTAACGTGTGCCGTCCCTTGGTCAGAAGAAACCATTGTTATGTTAATGCAGCACCTGACTTTGTCTTCCTATTTCTTAGGCAAAGTACTAGCTCTGTGATTAGATCGAATTCTCCAACAACAACATCTCAGATTATGGCAAGAAAGAAAAGGAGAGGGGTATGTGGTTTTTTCCTATTTATTTCATGTAATCCAGCCTAATGTGTAACAGTTGTATTTTTTCCATTATGAGTAAGTTTATCATTTGTGTATTCATAAACTTTCGTTGCTGTTTTGCTTTCTTTGGGATAGATAATAGAGAAAAGGCGTCGAGATCGGATAAATAACAGTTTATCTGAGTTGAGACGGCTGGTGCCAACTGCTTTTGAAAAACAAGTAAGTTACCCTCACCCCTGACCACCCCACCAAAAAGCTGAAAAAAATCTGATTCTCTCATCTGGGAATGTGGGTTCTTGTTAAATCTCATTAAAATAATGGTATATATGCCCTGATCTGACACAGAGCAGCTATTTCAATAAAATGCTTTGTTGTGGCAAAACTATTAAAAACATAATCCATCATGAAGTTGAAAAACATTCCCATTCTTCAGCTTATTTTCCCCTTAAGGGGAACAGTGTTCATGCTTTCTCTGTTCTGTCTATGAATACCAGTAGTGGTTTTGTTTAAAACTGAGCCGTATGTAGTATTCGTCAAAAAACAAAAGATAGCATATGTGAAATTTCATGTTTGTCTCAAATTGTTAAAAAAAAAAAAAAAGTAAGCTTTTTACTTTAAAAATAACCAAAGCCCGGGAAGTAATATCTCTAGCTCTATTTCCTAAATAATAATACTAATAAAATTTATTTACCAAGCCACTTGGTTTCATTTTTAATCTCTGGGTTAATAGAATGATATTCTATTTGGGCCATCTTTTTGGATGTTTGGTAAAAATCAAACTAGCCATAAATGCCCTTTTCAGAATTCAAGTATTCCTTTACAAAAAAAAAAAAAAGATATTACACAGTTAGAAAAGTAGGAAGCTAAATCTTTGTTGTTCTGGAAAAGTTGTGTTTCTCCTCCTGCCGCCATGGCTAATGGCAGAGATTTCTAAGAGCATCTTTCAAAGAATATGGGATCATACCCTTGTTGAACATACTTTCAGTTCAGTTCGAATAGGGTATAAGACAGCAGTTGTTTGTTTATTCCATTTTGTTGTTTACTTCATGAACCACAAACATTATAAAGCAAGCCCTACAAAGCCCTTGGAAATTATCCAGATACTGCAGTTTTGTTATTAGTCACTTTCACTGAAACTACTGTACATCTGCATGGAAAAATTGAACATTGACATACATTATAAGATGTAATATGCTATTAATTATACATTTTTAAGAGAAAAAAGACACCCATTCTATATGCTGAGACTGTCTTTGATAAGCTAAATGTAATGTGGAAATTGTAGTTTTGATTAGTAGCATTTTCAGTGACAATAAGCTGAAAATGAAAATGTCAGTCATCAATGATGTTTTTACTCTAAGTACCGAAATATTTACAGTTATGAGGCACAGTCCATTGGGTGATTTTTTTTTCTTGGTTTGTTAGACTTTTTCCTAAATTGTTGACTTAAAATAAACCTTAAAAGCGAGCCTCAGTTGTTTGGCAGTCAGTTACCATAAACACAGGCTTTCCTATTTGCCAAACTTGGCTACCAACACAGAGCCCTGTCACAATATGATTAGAAGAGTGTTCTTTCGAGCAGTTTAAATAACTCTGGCACTCTCACCGTGGACAGGGTGCTGATAATTTTCACAAAACAAGTAAAGCATAAGAACCTGAAATAAACTTCAGTGTCCTTTTCAAAAAGACATATTGATTTAATTATTTAGCTCTTCCAGGAAATTAGAAGCCACCCACAGCCTCTGAGACAGTTTGAGGTGGCACATTTGTATTTCAGTTGGTTTCCAGAGGTGGCCTTGTTTTAAAAAGGGGGGACATAAAAATACATTTCTAAGACAATTTTATTAAGAACTATTTTAAAGGGTTCAACTATCCTTAAGCATTTATGATGCTTACTAGATGAGTAGTAAATTACACTTTCTTCTTTATGGTCTTGGAATTCACAGTGACACCTGCTGGTAATTATTGGGAAAAAAACCCATAAAAGTCTTCCCTTTTTTATGTTTTGGTTCTGTTTACCAGGGGCCTAGTATGAATTACCGTAAAGACTTAGAATTTTCTATTTTTGAAAAATCTACTTTTAACAATAATTTGCTAAGATCTGCTCTCCTTATACTCCAGGGTCGGATTTACCCAATCTAGACTTCAGTGTTAAGACTGTTGGATGTCTTCTAATAAAATAAAGTTTATTATTAACCAAGGTAGGGATTAGATGCAAAGTTTGAGATTTTAGCAATTATAATAGTTTCGGTGAAAGGATCTTAGGAGTACAATTATTCTTGTGATAAAAAAATTATTTATTATGCCTTTTAGTCTGTAAAAGTTAAAATGGCAAGCGTCTGTCATTAGGTATGACATAGTAATTAGTGTTTTCATGTAAAGTTTGGTAAGAATTCAGATTTCTCTGTGAGAAAATTTAATTTAGAATTTTCTAGTGGGAGGGAAAATTGAAAATTCAGTGTAAAATGTTCCAAATTCGTTTCCATAGGATTTATAAGACTTTCTTATTTGTTTATGAAGGGATCTGCAAAGTTAGAAAAAGCTGAAATATTACAAATGACGGTGGATCATTTGAAGATGCTTCAGGCAACCGGGGGTAAAGGTAAGTTTGTGACTTCATTTTCTGCCCCCTTCCCGCCTTTCTCTTTTCATTTTTTCCCCCTAAGATTGTAAGGAAGTCATAGTTGAACAGTTCTTGAACAAGCTGAGATAGGAGGTCCCAGATTAAAGCCGTGGAAATCAATGCTAATGGCAGGATTGAACTCGTGGGAAAGAACTTCTGGAACAAAAGAAGCACTTGACCCTGGGCTTGTGTTTGCTTTCATAATACTGTGGGAGTAAAGCTTCATTCACAGCAGCCTGGTCTGAGATTTGTTTGGGACCTCAGAAGCGCATGCTGGAATCTGTACAGAGAGACAAAACAAACACCCAAACATAAACAGGAGGTTAGAGGCAACTCTTCTTTCCCTCCCCCCAAGCCCCCCTATTAAATCAGAGCTAGGACCTAATATAATGCAGCTATTCCAAACCAAAGGAAGTGACTCTAGAACTATTTTCATTGTTGTTCTCAGATTTGGGTTGGTCTTGGATTTAGAGCAGACAGAACATTCGAAGTGCAAGTAGTGAATCTCTGTACTGGAAACCACGCAGGGAGCAGTTGTTCCTGCAGAGAGCAAGGAGGAGCAGGTGCCCTGGGCCCAGTGCCCTGGAGAGTCTCCTCTGTGCTGGATAGTGATTTAGAGAAGACTGTCCAGGGGGTCAGGAACAGACCCTCACCTCATGCTAAAAAATATAGACTTGAGATCCTGAAAGCTGTAATATTCATTCAGATTTCATTGTCCCACTTCTCACATGTCACTCAGACTTGATTTTGCCCTTTTGTGTCTTTTTCACCCTTCAGGCGAGGCTTTGCTATTCATCGTAGCCAAGGGTGTTATCAATATATTTGACAACTGGGTAAGGACAGGGTGCCACAAGGGGCTGGGCACTGTAACTACAGCCTGGGGGCTTCTCTGTGCTCAGCATTACCCTTTTACTACATAGTATAGTTTACTGTAGATCAGGGCAGGGGCAGGGCACTGGAGGGAAGTAGCTGTTTACCAGTTGGTATGGAAGTATTTCAGTATTTAACTCAACTCCTATGGGACACAGCCCTGCCCTTCACCATCTTCTACCTGTGTCAGGTGGAGGGTGATCATTGCACAGGGAAGCCCACACAGTGTGACTTACCCTCCACTGCACCTTCTCAAGGCACCATCCTGAATGAATGGGCATGGAATTGTGATTTCTGCTCACTGAAATGTAACCCTAACCATAGGATGCAAACATTCTTATGTAATGGAGAAGAGAACTGGATGAAACCATAGAAGCTGACAGTCCAGCCCAGCGTGGCCACTGCCTCGCCTTTGACCTGAGACAGAAGCGCTCTGCAGCACTGTGAGGCCTGCACTAGCACTCTGAGCTCTAACGGCCCCTCCAGCCCCACGATTCTGTCTCTGCACCTGCTACCTCTGGATATTAGGAAACTGATTGAGTTACTGATGTGCAAGAAAAGTTATTTGATTGCTCTACCTCCTTTGGTGATGTTAGCCACAAGGCTAAGAATTCTTATCGGGTTTCAAATATTTGGCATGAGCCATACTTCTAAAGAGTAATATTGTTCTTATGCCTTATTATAAAAACTAAGTTCCATCTTTGTTGCTATTCTTGGCTACCTGAACAGTCCTAAAATTCATCCCAGAATAGTTTATGAACAGACATTTCCAAGCAAGCTTCATATGAGTCAGCTGACTGCCAGGTCCTTGGAGAGGTCATTGCACAGGAGAATGTGTGGGCCGTGAAGAAGGGGGGCTGGTAGTGTGGGCCCGCATCGTCCAAGACTCACAATTGCTGTGAGGTCCTCATAGTGCAGTGGTGAAGGCCATGGACTCTGCAGTTGGGTTGCCTGGTTTCAAATCCCTGGCTCTGCCCTTTATTAGCTCTGTGACCCTGGATAAATTACTAACCCTCTCTGAGCCCCAGTTTCCTCATCTGGAGGTTGTTGTGAGTTTATTCACTTAAAGCTGTAGGGCACCGAGGAAGTGGTATGGACCTGTGTGCTATTGTTATTGGCCCAAGACCCAGTCTCAGGAGATAACTGCTCATCGTCATTTCCCTCTGCATTCAGCAGGAGGATGGGAATTACATAATTTATCTTCCTTAAGAAGAAACAGAGAATTCAGCTATATACAACAACATGTAGCTGGCAAACCACAAGTTTCAATTACTTGGTGCCCACTCATGAAAATTCTTGGAAGCTCCTGGGGTTTACAATTCTGTTGGTCCATTCTTCACAGTCTGTCTTAGTATGGCAGTAGTTTCTAGAGAGAATTAAGTAGAGTAACCTAAATTTCTAAATCTCTCTGGGTTTCTGGACTCTGTCTACTCTGGTGATTACCTCCCTCCTTCTTGCAGGGAAGCCAGAAGTCTGCAGAGCCCTACAGAGAATACTGAGGGCTCTTACATGAAATCTTTCCATGGGGGCGTCTTCTTCAGGAAGAGCTTTCCCTCCTAATCCCAGGTTTTTGTTGCTAACTACGAGAAAGTCCTGGGATGATAACTATTTTTATTGCTGATCTTCTATGTTTCATAACATTCTCTTATATAAGCTTTGTGCTGCTGCTGTTGTTGTTACTGTTTTAATGGTGTATATTTTTGCCCCAGATGTCTTTTTGGGACTTCCAAATCTCTGTTGGAATTCTAGCTTTAGGACTTTGAATATTGTGACTACTATTTTCCAGAGTGCTTTGATTACAGAATAACATAGTTTATCAATAGATGATAAATGAAACAGGTAATACTTTCATCTGCAAAAACATAAAAAAGATAATGTGATAAATGCCTTAGGTGAAAATAACCTTGTTTGAATGTGGTATTTCTCATTTACATATACACACATCCCAAAAGTGAGTGGACTTTTTTTAATTTGAAAATTGCTAAAAGAAAAAAAAGTTGCAAATGAGAAAGAATCTGAAAAGGATATGTTTACACATATTAGAAGTCACTAATTCAAATTTGAGGTCACTAATATAATTTGGTGACATTTCCCCAAATGTCTGATTATTACCAGTACCCTAAATCGGCACTGATAATAATCAGACATTACTATTTTCTATTCTAATATATTATCTTTGAATAAAAAAGGGATTCTCATAAACGTGACCCAGCTCCAGCCACTTTTATGGTAGTAACCATAGGTGTGGGGGTGCGTGCATATACACTGACCCAATTAATATACATTTTTTTCTTGGGTGGGTGCCAGGAAAAAGTAAGCTAACCAATAAAGGAAATATATATTTGAACTTCAGGAAAACTAGGAGTTATTGTAATCTCATATCAGTAAAGGAGCCTGATAGAAAAATAAGATCTTCAAATTAATAACCAAATTTTTTTTTAAAGCATTTTGCTTTCATTGAATTCTTTTCATACAAAGTAATGACAAGACGTTTTCACTTTGTGGATGAAAAACACTGTGAGTCAAGAAGTATTTATGAGATTCTAGCACATTTCTAAAAAAGTCCTCAACTGCTAAGATGCATTTCATATCTCTGTTATAAATGCCAAGAGAGCGAGGCTGTGCCGATAAGCGCTTTAATCTTCAACGCATGTGACAGAAACAGAGAGACTGGTACCCTGTATTAGCATGAAAAAGTTTACTCGGGAATTTCACTATCCTACAATACAAAAGGAGAGACACCTTTTTTTTTTTTTTCCTGGAAGTGTTTGAAACACAGATGGTCTTGAATATTTTTCTGCACTGTGACACTTGGTTGCAAGAACCATTGTTATCTGTAGCCTTGCCGGAGTTGTCACACATGTGAATTGCAAAGTACACTGTCTTAACTTCTGCAAAGTTGACAACCCTAAGTAGCTGACCACCTTTTCAGAAAGGATCGTCATTCTACTTAGTCTCTGAAGGACGGAGGGGAACATAGGTGGCGGTTACCCTTGGTAATTGTATCATTTTTCTCTCCCTCTCTCTCCTGGCCCCCACTTTGCTCAAACCCGCGGTTAGGCTACTTTGACGCGCACGCTCTTGCCATGGACTTCATGAGCATTGGGTTCCGAGAGTGCCTGACAGAGGTGGCCCGGTACCTGAGCTCCGTGGAAGGCCTGGACTCCTCGGACCCACTGCGCGTGCGCCTGGTCTCTCATCTCAGCACGTGCGCCTCGCAGCGGGAGGCTGCGGCCATGACCTCCTCGCTGGCCCACCACCACCACCCCCTCCATCCGCACCACTGGGCGGCGGCCTTCCACCATCTCCCCGCAGCCCTGCTCCAACCCAACGGACTCCACGCCTCGGAGTCAACGCCTTGTCGCCTCTCCACCACTTCAGACGTGCCTCCTGCCCACGGCTCCGCTCTCCTCACGGCCACGTTTGCTCACGCAGATTCTGCCCTTCGGATGCCGTCGACGGGCAGTGTCGCCCCCTGCGTGCCACCTCTCTCCACCTCGCTCTTGTCCCTCTCAGCCACTGTCCATGCGGCCGCTGCAGCAGCCACCGCAGCTGCGCACAGCTTCCCTCTGTCCTTCGCAGGGGCCTTCCCCGTGCTGCCCCCAAACGCAGCTGCAGCGGTGGCAGCCGCCACCGCCCTCAGCCCGCCCTTGTCGGTTTCAGCCACGTCCAGTCCTCAGCAGACAAGCAGTGGAACAAACAGTAAACCTTACCGACCCTGGGGGACAGAAGTGGGAGCCTTTTAAAAGTTTTCATTGAACTTCTTGCAGTAGTAACTGAATGTCCTTCATTTCCGAGTCAGCTTAAGCCCTCTGCTCCCCGAAAGTAGCCATACCGATGTCTACAGATCCGCAAAGGAACAATAAAGCTATTTGAGACACAAACCTCACAAGTGGAAATGTGGTATTATCTTTTTTCTCTTTTTTTTGTTTAAGGCAGCTTGGTAACTGACATCAGCAACTTTTGAAAACTTCACACTTTGTTTGCATTTAGAAGTTTCCTGGAAAATATATGGACCGTACCATCCAGCAGTGCATCAGTATGTCTGAATTTGGGAAGAAAAATGCCCTGACTGAATTCTCTTGAAACTAGATGAAAAAAAAATATTCATGTTTCATAAGTGCCTGAGCTAGTAAAGCTTCCTTCTGAACGTATAACATTGCACAAGAAAAGAAGAGCGTAGAGGTTAGGTTAAGAAAGGAAAGGGCCGGGAGTCTTGCATTAGGCTGCAAACATTTTAATACAATGCCAGAGAAGAGTACTTTGTTGAAACCAACAAGTTTTTATTGGCCAAAAGGATTGCTGAAAATAATTTTCAAGTTGAAAGACCTAGTTTTATCTTAGTTTGCTTTCGTTGTACAGACTTGCCCAGTGGTGACACTTAGCAATGCATTGGTATAAGCAATTATTCCATCAATGCTCAGATTAACAAGCATTTCTACCCTGCTTGCAAACCCCCAGGCACTTTTTTTTTCATGGCTCAAAAGATGGTGCTTCTTTATCTAAACCACACATTTATAGAGTGCACCTAGAAGTCGTTGTCTACTGTGTCGCACCAGAGGCTGTTTGATTCACGCCAACTTGAAAGCTCGCCAGTTTGTACAGTTTAGATTAATTTATTCAGTTTCATTTGGACTGTTTTTACATGTTTATCCCCTTCATTTTGTCCTAATAATGTGTAATATCTATTCTTGTCACCTTCTGGGGAGAAGTTGCATATCTGGAGGTGATGAGGCAGGGAGAGAGCATTGGGAAGAGAAAAGCCATGATTTTGAAATGCTCTTTGTGAAGCTCGTAACTGTGTTTGATCCCAAATCAAGATGAATGTATGCAATGGGATGTACATAAATTATTTTTGTCCATGCCTAGACTAGTGCTACATAATAGTGTTTTGGTTTTGTTGTTTTTTTATTTTGTTTAATGACAAAGTAATCTCTTAATACATTGAAATGGAGCACGTGAGATTTTATGTTTGAAAGATAAAGACACAGCATGTATTATTATGCACTTCATTTCTCTGCTGTGTGGAGAAAGCAATAAACATTATGAGAATGTTAAACATTATGCAAAATTATACCTTTAAATATTTGTTTTAAAATTGCTGTACCTAGTCTTTTTTGCATTACTTTGTAACCTTTTTCTATGCAAAAGTCTACATATCACTAATTAAATGAAGTCCTTTTTGACTATTTTTATGTGGATGAGTTGCTTTGCAGAATGGAAAGTTGACATGAATTTCAAGGAAGGCCTTCCTTCACTAATAAGTTAAGCCATGGCTTTTTTCTCTTTCAAAGTCATTTGATATAATTCACAGCTTGCTTGAAAATGGAATTTATCTGAGCTTGTAAATCAATTAAGCATAGGCGGGTATGACATTACTTGGAGGCAGGAAGTGATCATTTTCCTCTGCCTTTTATTTTTAATCATGGTCCTTGGAAAAGTGCAAATACCAGAATTCCAAATAATAGTACACGGAACATAGGATAATAAGCTAGGATGTGTCATACATTTTGTAACTCAAAAATACTTGTAGAGTATTTTTAAAATATCACATGCATACGTGATAGGCATATACATGCCTCCTGATGATAAATCCTCTGTATCTACCTCAGTGAAAATTTCTTTTGATGCTGTAGAAATTATGCAGCTATTTCTCTTTCTTGAATGAAGCCTAAAAGAGACTGTTTCAGAGTTTCTAAAGCTATTGGGCGAAACATATGAAAAGAATAAAAAAGAATGTTTTATTATACATAAAGTTTTTATTATGCATATCAATTTTGTTCAAAGTTATAGGGAAAAAAAGGGAAGCTTCTTATTTTAGTTGTGAAAAATCAACTATGGGTTTATCTAATTTCTTTTGCCTGTAAATGGGTAAAAAAATGAGTGAAAACAGACCGCCTTGTTCCTCCTGTCCGTAAGCTCTGGGGCTATTATATCTTCAGTTAGCTCTGATGGAATTAGGTAGCAAATAAGAAAATGGATTTAGTGGTATTTGAAGTTTGCTTTTTAATCATGATTTGTGGACAAGAAGCATGGAAATGATTTTTGTTTAGGGTCTAATAACTGATTCTGTGCCTATTGTAATGTCAGCATTCAAAGAGCTTCTTTTTCTTTTTTGGAATGTAAACTATTTTAGAGATCAGGAATTTCTTTTTTTATTTATTTATTTTTTTGTGAGGAAGATCAGCCCTGAGCTAACATCCATGCTAATCCTCCTCTTTTTGCTGAGGAAGACCAGCTCTGAGCTAATATCTATTGCCAATCCTCCTCCTTTTTTTTCCCCCCAAAGCCCCAGTAGATAGTTGTATGTCGTAGTTGCACATCCTTCTAGTTGCTGTATGTGGGACTCGGCCTCAGCATGGCCGGAGAAGCGGTGGGTCAGTGCGCGCCCAGGATCCGAACCTGGGCCGCCAGCAGCGGAGCGCGTGCACTCAACTGCTAAGCCACGGGGCCGGCCCCAAGGAATTTCTTTTTTTAAATTTGGATTAAATATTTTAAGATAAATCCCCTTCCTTCCTCTTTTCCTCCCTTGCTCTTCCTTTTTGTTTTTTCCTTGTATTTCTTTCTTCCCAGTTACATATGGGTTATTATGTTTCAATTTAATTGGTTAAAATATTTGCAAACCAACTTGCCACATAGTTGCTAAGGTTGTCAGTGTTCCTGAAGATAATCATTGTCAGTAATTTCTGTCATTTTAAGGTTAATTGGTCTTTGATGAATATTTCACATCCTCAGCTTTTAACATCATATTTTACTCTTTCTATTAACTTTACCATTGAGTTTTTCATCTCCAATCCAATGCTTGTGAAAGTGGCGTTCCACCTTTAGGTGTGGTAATTTTCATGTTTGCTGCCATAACAGAAAAAAAAAATTGTTCTTATAGTTCAAGGGAAAAAGAACTTTCAGAGTTTGATTTATTGGTAGCTTTTATTTGTGTGAAAGTCTCAAAATCAACTCAAAGGATTTTTTGGTAGGAAAAAAGGGGGAAAAAGGAAAAAAAGAACATTGTTAGAAATTTAGTTTTCCCCAAATGTTAAAAGCTATATGTATGCCTAATTAGAATAGTTTTGTATTAATGAGCCAGAAAGTATTTATTGAATAACTACTCTGTGCCCAGCACCGTGCTGTGTATGTCAGGTTTCGAATGGTGTGTAGTAGTCCGTGAAAGTGTGATCCTACAGCCTGACAGTGATAGGTGTGGCTGCCACCCCAGCTATTCAGGGACCCTCAAAAGAAGGAGGTGCCCCAAGAGTGAGGAAAGGGGTTTCTGGGAACTGGTCAGGAGGCTGTTTGCTCTCCTTGGGATCTTTTGCAATTACAAAAAATGATATTTCCTATCATATTTGAAGAAATCTAAGGGACTTTTAAAGTAATGTTGAACCATAAAAAAGTCCAAATATTAACTAGAGTGATGGCTCTATGATCCATATGGACATAGGTATCATCAATTTTCCTGAAGCCTTTTGGATTATCTTCCTTTTGCCAATAATTAACACAAAGTACACGTGTCACCTTCAGTAACATCATCACAAAGCAAGATGATTTTAAAGCTCCATATTTCCATAGGTCTAAGACCCCATCAGTTGCAACATATACTATTGGTTTAAGGTCAGTTTTTAAGGAAAGTACTACCACAACATAACTTTACACATTGATCATAAGACGTCTCAATTCCAGAGTGTAAAAAAGAAAAAAAAATGCATCTTGGATTTGAGGCAATACTATAATACAATGTACTTGAACGTGATTTAAAAAATCCATGGCTAGAGATGTACATAGATTAAAATGTGGCTGATTTAATAACACATCAGGATACAGTCCCAGTCAAAGAATCTGGATTGACTATGTAATGGCTTAATGATCTAAAGATAAATGTATTTTTTTAAGCTTTTCATGTTTTAATTGCCCAGTGGGACTACTCTTACTTCTGCATTTTACTGAAGAATGGAGTTTGACTTCCCCTTGTAATTCTTTTAAGATCTAAGCAATAACCGAGGTTGTGAAAATTTCAGCAACTACAACAAAGCCTTACAGCAAATATGACATCATAAACTGTGACTGTAGCTCATGGTCTTTGGAGGGCTAAGTCTTTGAACTCGGATGGGGGATCTTAAAAAGAAGAAAAGCTTCCATAGACAATCTTGTATGAGGGGCCAGATGCATATGAGAAATGGTTCTCTAGGTCCCGTGCAACTTTCTCCCTCACTTCTACCTTCAAAGGAGCAGGCAGGAATGGGGTTGGTCAGGGAATTGGGTCCTCTGCAATAACTGACAGAACCAGCACCCACTGTAAGTCACAGGTCTAAAAAAGAAAATAAAATGTAATACTAACTACTAATACTGTTTGGTTGTTTTCTGTGCTAAGCTCTGTGCTAAGTATTTGAAATCTGTTACCTCATTTAAGCCTCATAACCGTCCTATAGAGTGGATTGTATTATTATCTTTACATATTAGGAATTGGAGAATAAGAGGTTAATTGTCCAAGGTCATAGCTAGCAGTTTGAGCTGTGACTCAACCCAGGCCTATCTGATTCTTAAGCCTTTGACCTCTAGGCTGTGGCTTTTGACAGTGCCTTTTTGGACTCAGACTCATTCAGACTAACCAAGGATTTCAACCTGCATGGGATCACCTGGCCTAATGACAAGAGTAAATCTGTCTATACTATTAGCATAAAAACCTCCATCATCTCACCCTTTTAATATATGAAAGGATTGAAAAAAAAAAGAATTACTCCACCTTATTCTGTAATACAACATAAAAGGAAATTATTTTGGCAATTCCCTAGTTTTAACTTTCAACTTTCAAGCAGTTGAGAGTTAAGAAGGTTTTAAACTACCTTATCTTAATTAGTGAACTTACCCTCTGCAAAGGCTACCAAAGAATATTCTAGAATCCCACTCAACATAGTTGACAAAAGTGAGGCAAAATGGTGAACTAATAAGACTAGAGATCTGAGTAAATTGAGTTTGAAAAAAAACAAATCCTCAGTCTTCAATTGGATGTGAAAGATAAAAGTTTTCTTTTTTGAGGGGAGAATGCTGGATTATTCTGAATGTTTATACATTCCAGGTCCATCATGTCATAAAACAACATTCTTCATCTGGCCTATGAAGACCTGCTCAGTCACCCATTCACTTGAACAATTCTCCATATCAGGAAGAGCTTTTTAACCTAAACTCTTCGGCCCACAGTTAAGCATGTTTTCTATAACAATTAACAGTTTATGTGTATAATTTTTGAAAAATCTTATATCCAGGGACATTTTTACATGCCTCTACGTTCTTAGTCTTCTGAGAACTGAATATTCTGTTTCCCTGACCTCTGTTGTCATTCTGTTAGTCTGTGGGAATGAAGAGATTCATGCATATGAAATGGTATATGCATGTAATGGAATGCCTTATAAGCTTTTTTTTCTTTAAGGGATAGAAAGAAGTTGAGTATCTTTGGCAAGTTAACTCTGAAGTTTCTTGCATTAAGTTTGTTTTGTACTAGTTTTGTGTTTTCATTGCAGTGAAAACAAGTCACATATTCTCATGCAGAAGAAAAACTATTTTGCAAAGAATGGCTATTATTCATAATATTTCACTTGTGTAATGGGGTGATAAATTTAAAATTGCTGGTAAACTCGTAAAACAACTGAATATCTAAGTTAACCCCTCCTTTCCTGATTATAAACTATCAAGCTGAATATTATTTACCATACTATAAAACTCTGCTTCCTGGATCTTTCATTACTTCTTTTTTGACCTTTTTCCTTAATTGCAGAGAACCTAAAGACTTTTTTTCTCCAAAACAATATGACCGGAACTTTGTGTAGATCTGTTTGCGTAGACCTTCTCCTGGGCCAGCAATGGCTGGCCTCTTCCCTTGTCCTAGCCAGTCTGTCCCAGCACAGCTGCGTTAAATAGGCTTCCCTTGGGGTCTGGCAAGATGACGGAGACATGTTCGAAGTCAGGAGGGTGAAACAGAGGGACACAGACCATATTTTACTCCTGTCATAACACATTTCTCTGTCACACTCACAAGCCGCCTCCTAAATAGGAACTAAGCCAGTCACTTTTTAAGTCTCACAAGCAGCCACAGTTAGATTTATTTTATTATTTTGACATATTTCTGACAGCAGAAAGATAAGCGTGGCATAGTACAAGTGGTCGGGTATAGTAACATTATCAAACCCACCTATAGCCTGG